TCATATAACCAGCACGTATGCAAACGAAACAGATCTTATCGAAAATTTATTATTATGATATTAGTTGAAGTATGATCAAATAGCATAGAAAAATAGAACATTCTTTTCTCTATCAGACTATATAAAAGAAAGTTTCTTTAACCTTTCTATAAGGGATAAAAATACCACTGCCACTACTTTTGGTATGCCCTAAGTATAATTCTTCATACCTAAAATTTCTGTGCATATTTTAATTGTTTCTTGCGCTGATGCTTTTGATTTTGAGGAACACGTGCACATAAAATTTTTTGCTTTAAAAATAAATGTTGATGATTGTGGATCAGTTAATTTTAAAATTTGTGTTGATTTCTCAATACATTCTGTCCATTTCTGTGCATTTATAAATTCTTTAATCGAATCAAATTGTTTTGCTAATTTTTTTATTTTTATATAATGAGTATGACATTGTTTATGATCAGGGTCTAGTTTTAAACATTCACGAATATTACTAGAACGAATTAGAAATTATTGAAACACAAATTAAATCACAAGCAAATAGTCTATTTTAGAGTTAGGCGAGGCGTGCAGACAAGTTTTGTATGAGCGTAAGAAGTATGCAATTTTGTACTTAATAAAAATAATTTAAATCGACAAGTACGACGCACAGGTGTGGAATCTGTGAGAAGTTCATATATAGTCAAAATATACATGAAAAACTTTTCACTTTTTCCACAAACTGTAATCAAAAGCACATTAAGCACATTTTATAAAAACAAAAAGCTCCAGAACTACCTACCAATAACTTCAAATGCTTTTACTTATGATCAGAATTTCATGCTAAAATTTGCAGTGATCATAAAATAGACATTTTGATATCGGAAAAGTATTGTTATTGGTTATCTGGATCAAAGGAGATAGTGAAGAAATATCACCTAGAGAAGATTCTTATGCTAAATTCTTCATTATTTTAAAAACCTCATACAAATGTTTGAAGAGAAAAAAGCGTTCACTATCACCTGAAAAAGTTCATACTATCTCCGATCAAATGTCATTCTCACTTTCAAAAGAAACCTTGCTTTGAGTCTGAACTTTTTAATTCAGAATTTTCCTTAAGGCCTCCTCTGCCAGAAATATAGAGTTTTTTATGAAAAGCCGATATTGAGTGAATCATATGGCGGAATTGCCTAAGATGTCTACTCTTACAATCTATACTATTCTTCTCAATATTAAAAATTTCTAACGGAGGAATTCTGAAGAAGCTTTCTAAAAAGCATAAAAACTCGGCCTCTTTGTTGTTCTAATATTCCAGTAAAATGTCGGAATCAAAGGATTTCAATGATGCTAGTATGTAGAGCAAACATTTCTAATTAAAATTCGACGGCTCTCAACTTTGAGCGATGCTTTCATCAAAAGTTATGACACTTGTACTAAGAACTCTAAAATACGTATCATACACAAGTGCCATCATATCTCAAAATCAATTTTTCTCTTCGTCGCTCTAAGAGTTTCTCAGAACTCTCACTCAATTTAGACACTAGGTTACTGAAGATGTTGGTTTTTTTTGCAGAAAAATGTTCTCGCTTTGACGTTACAGGTACAGATGTTTAAATTTAGTTTCGGAAAGTAAGGAAAACTAAGAATCTCTGAAAAACCTTTATACTGTTGTTGACAAAATATGTCTCGCGTTAATCGGTAATATAAAATTTCAAAAATCTCACTCTGTATTGCCAAAACAACGGTATTTTAGCTACAGAACGAAAACATCATAAAAGCTTAAGAACCTAAACTGAGTGAAAATTTAGCTACTCTGTTTTGACCACTGTTGTGAGAACATTTCGAAAACGAGAGCATATGAAGCCAGAAGAAATTCTCGTTATGATACTGGGACATTGTCAATAGTTACTGAAATAAACTGTTAGTTAATGGCACGTGTGTATCTGATTGGGCCCTGTCGTTACATTCTACTGCTACTATACTGTTGTTCCCTGAAGTTTTAGAGAAAACGCTTAGAATGACAGAATATATGGATAGATTCTAAGTTTGGTCTAGATCGGACTTGTAATGACCAAAATATATTTCTGTTCGAGGAAACTCTTCAAAAGAATTTTTCTTTCTCATACACCACTCGCACTTGTGGATTTATTTTTGTACTTCTAAAAGTAGGTCTCACTTTAAACTGTCTTCCGCTTCTCCCATTTGATATAATAATTCACTGATTCTCAAAAATGCTGCAGTATTATCTGGTATCAGTTTGGCTGTTGCTTTTAAATCAGTGACAGCCTTCGCATAGTCATTTACATTTAAGTAACTATCAGCACGTAATTCTCGAAATTTGATTGACCATGGACAATGCTAGAAAATGAAGAACATGATAGAAATAGGTTGCAGAAAGGGAGAACTGAATGGTTGACTTACTTCAATAATTTTTGATAAAATATCAAGTGCTTGGATATATTCTTTTTGTTGATAAAATGTTTCGGCTTGTTTACTATCATTTATTACTGTCAATAATGTTTCTAATTGTTTAAGAGCATCAGCATTATTTGGCTCTGTTTGAATCTAAATATAACTAAACATAGAGAGCTAAAAGTGCAGTGAGAAAATATTGAACTTACAACTGTTTCAAAATCTTTCTTCGCTTCTGCAAAATTACCTTGTTTAAATAGCACATTTCCACGTTGCATACGAGCCTAAAACATACGTTAAAAATAAAAATGATTTCTCTTGTTGATCTAAGAAAATTCGAAAATACTCACAGCGATAAAATCAGGTTTAAGTTCAATAACTTTGGACAGATCAGGTAATGCGGATTTCGATTTTCCCAGTCCAAGATAAACAGTTGCTCGTCGAAAGTAAGCAACATAATTTTTTGGATCGCCCTCTATAGAACATCAGATATAGTGAAAATAGATTGTAGTCGTATCTAAAACTCACCAACAGCAGAATGAAAATGTGTTAAAGCATCCGCTAGTTGACCAACTGCTAATAATTTTTTTCCTTGTTCTAAATGTTCATCAACTTCTTTCGAACTTAAACCACAGATAGCACCTTTAAGAAGAAAAGAAAAATGTTGATAACAAATGAGGGAACAAAGATTAGATAAAATAGTTCATTTACCAGGTAGAAATATATCTGACACAACGGCCAAAAGTGATAAATACAGAATGGTTTGATAAATCACTAACAGTAATGATGTGCATGAATGTATTTTAGATGAATAAATAGTTAATAACATGATTATAAAAAAATAAAAACAAACGTAGGAATGTTTACTGATACTATTTGAAAGAGGAAAATTAGAGCATGTTTTGCAGCCTTCTATAGAATAATCATCGCTTTGTTGAGCAAAAACAAACCATTAGCTCGACCGCGCCGATTGGATGGGCAACAGGAAAAAAAATTGGGAAAAGGTGGAGTGTTGCTAATGGTGAAAAATCGCACCGATCAAAAAGTAGATGAGATATTTTATATTTAGTTGTTTCCTTTCTTTTATTTTGCTCTAAATAAAATAGTATATAGTTCCAAGGAGAGACTATCTACGTCAGTTCGCATCGATCCTGGCTCCTTGGTGCTACTATTTGGAGCTAAAAGTAAACAACGATGAAAGTGTTCGATGATTCTTATAATTATACGTTCAAGGAAGAAATTAACTACCGTTTATGGGTTATTTCGACACAGAATGGGTACTTTTTTCTGGAACATTAGTGATTCAACCAAGCTAGAGTATTTATAGGTGTTTCTTTAAGATAAACTACAAAACAAAATTATCGGTCAGTGTTATTGGATTTTATAATTCTACCAATTCATTCGGCAGAGAAAACACGGATCAATGCATGATTAGATAAAATGGACTATTATATATTATATATGTGCACAATATTTCGAATGATGAACGTTGATACCCTAATAATTCAGAGTGGATCGAAGGTAAATTAAATTAAAAATACGCTTTACTTCTAATCTCAGAGTGTACTGTGTACAGAAAAATATATGCAGTTTGAGTTTTCAGAGGATGTAGAGAGGGATAGTAACATTTTACTTCCGATTTCATCTTCAAGCTTTTACGATGTATTTGGGTTTATTTGTTTTATTTTTAGATAAAACATCAAAAAATCCGTTGAAAACATGCGTTACTTTTTTCTTCGATTCATTTTTAGCTCTTGTTTTGAGTTTGTTCTCCCTCACTTGTGTCTGAGTAGGCTGTTATTTTTACGTTAATTGCATGTTATCTGAAGGGTCGTTTCTGGTATTCAACGTTGATTGTAGAAAGACGTAATGATGAATGAGAATGTTTTATTTTTATTCCTTGATATTAACGATGTATTTTATGTTTCTACACGCTTTGCACGTGTATGTTCTCATTAGAAACACTGCTCCTTCCGCTTGTTGTAAAGAAAACAAGCGGAAATACAGCAGTACGAATTCCCTTCTGTAGCTTTTTTCCACTATGTTTACTGTAATCCAGATTCTTGTCTGTCCTCTTTCAGTCGTTTCTTGAGTTTTCTGATATATCGAAGTTATAAGCTAAGATGATGCATAGCAATGCAGTCTCGCTCGAATTCAAATCTCAATTTCGTTAGACTTAAACAAAAAAGCCTCTTCTTAGCTTAGTTTTCTGTTGCAAAAATTATAACCACTGAACTCTTTGTTTACGTTTAAAAAAGTGTATTTCATTTCCTCTCTAAAAGCACTTCCAGAACAGAAGAATATTGCATTTGTAACGATAGATAAAAGCTCTTTATACTTTGAGTGAGCGAGCTTTCTAGCCCTGAAAGACGTTAATTATAAAAGTTATTTACGAACGAGAGAAAACAAACGAAAAGTTACTTTTGCAATCGTTTTCTTACATTTTATACTTTGTATGGAGAACGGCAGGACAAACTTTTTACTCTCGGCTTTTTACTCTCCTATAAAAGTTTTTTATTCTCAATTTTACGTCTTTGTCTTTGCTAGCTGCTTAACACCTGTTTGCTCTATTTTTTAGATGAAAATGTAATACGAGTGCCGGATCGATGAGCCGTTTTTGCATTATTTGATTAGTCTTGTTATGTTTAACGTCTAACATTTAGTTCACTATTTCAGTGTCCATCTAGCTCAAAGTATTGATTCTATAAAATGTCATTATACGTCAGGTAATTCAATAACAAATGAAAGATTTCCTTTTTATTATCGTCAATTATTCTTCGCAATAAATAACAATAGCAATTATTATTATAATTATCCAATTGTCTTTTTAGAAAAAACTAATGAATTATATGAATGAAAACGATTTATTATTCTTAATTCGTTAACAATGAATTTATTATAAACCCATTTAAAATGCGTAACCGACAAACTAAAAAAGCTAAAATGTACATCATTCATTAAACTACCATCACCTAAGACTATCACTGAACATGAGACACAACAAAAGGACTCTTGTTTCGTAAATGATGATCAATAGACAAACATTGAAAACGTTCATATTCAATTTGGACGATACCATTATATTTAGTAACAAACAACAATCCATCCAATATGAGTAAGAACGACGTGCTCATTATCAAAATGCACGTGAAAACAAAATGATTGGCATATTTTTCAACGCTTTTTTTTCTTCGTGAATATTTTGAGCACAACCATCATTTTCAGTTAGAACTAACAATGTCTAACTTACACCTTTTTTGAATCCGTAACAATGGCTCACCCGCTGCTAGTATAACATTAATTTAGTACCGTGTTGAAGATTTATTTCCATTATTGAGTTGTTCATACGACTACTACCTTGAATCACTAGACATCGCTCTACAAAACTACGTAAGTCTGCCATCGCCATCTATCAACATTCGCTCGTGTCAGAGATGCTCCGAAGAGCCTCGGATTCGGTAATCTTTAGGTTTGGATGTATTTTCATCGAGTTATCAATGTTTTCGTTCCTACTGTACATAGCCGTTTTGGGACATTTTGTGTTGTACGACTGTACAGTATGTTTCTGTATGTTCATAGTAAAACAAACATCCCCTTGAAACACAGCGTAGTCGATAACCTATGTTTCCATTCATTTTGAGGTTCCCAAACCTAGAGATCACCGAATCCAGGACTCTCCGAAGTAGTTTTGTAGAGTAATGTCTGGTGATTCGAATCTACCTATCGGCATTCAAAATCCGACACTCTTTTAGTGGAGAGAAACCTTCTCCAAAATGTCTTAGTCAGGTCTAACACCTGTAGATGGGAATTTTGTTGTTCTCTTCCTGTAGTATCATAGTCCCAACATTTCTTTCTTCAAAAGTGAAGATCGCAGCTTTTTATCTCTTTTCTATCGAAAGTTATTCAGAAAGCAATGGACTGCATTCTATTTTGAAATGGATAGTAGATTAATGTATTTAAATATTTGTATAGGAAAAAGAATCTGGCCGTGCATCGAAAAAAGATATTCTCGGTTAAACTTTCATTATTGACATGTGTAAAAATGAAATTTTTACGGTTTTGTCGTTCTGTGATATGAAATCTATTTAGAAACGATTAATCTTTACGATTATAGTTTTAAATTGTGTACGTGAAGATATGAAGTCTTCTTAATTGAAAAAAATACAGCATGCTTTAGTAGTAGTGCTGTTGTTTCTAAAACGTAAGGATATGTAGGTTTTCATATTTTTCTCATCACGAAGAGTACAATCTCAAGTAATGTGGTGTAGTCTAAGAGATCCAACTTTTATTCTGGTGTTGTTGAACAGAGATCATTCACAGGTACTTCTAAACAAAAATCGTCTGGTGTTAAAAGATTCAGCTTTCGATTTCTTTCGTTTTTGCATTTAAAGTGCGTGTTAGTCATGCACTTCTGTGTTGATCTTTAAGATAAAAGTGATTTGTTCTTACGAAAAAGAAATATTAAATTAGAATATTTGCAATATAGTTTCTGAATTTGTAGTGGTTACAAACAATAAAGTAGCAAGATGAATATTTTGTTATATTTTCTGACACGCTATTGTTTCCATGTGCATGACTTTGTTGTTTTAAAGATTATGTACGAATTTATTGTCGTGTTTTTGAGAGAATAAAAATGATAAACAATTTTTCTTTTTTCTATGAACGAGTATATATCCTTCGAACGTTAAACAGTGTTCTTCTGAATCAGGGATGCCAACTAAAGCGAGCATAAAGGAAGACAAATTACTGGAAAAGCGGGAGATAAGGGGGCCAAGACACATTGTATCTCGCACAATATTGTGTGAAAAATTAAAAGAATATCAGTATATTCTTTTTTCTATTGAATATTTCTATTGTTCATTGAGCTTTCCCCACATCAGTATGTTATAACATAAAATTTTATACAATTATCTTTTCTCACACAAAAGCACTAAATGATCAATTCAAACGTTATTTTTTACTAATGTGTTGATATTTTCATTTCTACTAATACTTTTATTCGGCACGTCGTTGTTATTCAAAATCATAGATCATAATCACAATCATGAGAATTATTGTACGTTAAATTTGTATTCATTGTAATTCTCAATTCTGTGTTCACTGCCTTTTCTTTTGTGAAATCCGACATAAGAAAAATTACTAAACGCTAAAGGTCTGTTGAACTGGAAGCGTAATACAAAAGTGAAAAGTCCATTGAAGACGGTCAAAAGAAAGTATCCTAGAAAAGGGAAACATCTTTAAATGTGGGACTGCCCCTCTTATGAGGGGAACGTCTAACAACCCTGTTCTGAATACTTCCTTTTGTTTAACAATGGGTATTATAAATCCATCTATAAATTTAGAAATAGGTATCTTTACAAAGTTTCTGTTACGTTTTGTTTTAAATACGTTTGAACAACTGAACATGAGTTTCAAGTTTAAATTTCGTTTTAGTTTAAATTTACTTATCAGTCAGTTTATTGCAGCAGTTGTACGTGTGTGCTTTTCTTGTGTAATGTACGATAACTCTTTATCGATGTAACGGCCAATGTGGAATGATGATTCAAAGAGATCAATACTTAAACATGATGATACTCGAATTAGTCTTCAAAGTTCTCTGACCACAAAAGGCTATAAAAAAGAAGTAAATTGCTCTAAAACTGTATTATGAATTCAAATGCATTGCTTGATCTTCTTTGCTCTATTTAATACAAGAAACAATTTTAATTATTAACGCTTCTTTTCTGTTCTATTTTCTTTCTTTTTCTCTATCGACCAGGTGTCTGGTATTTGATCTTGTTCTTTACATCGTTTGTTCTAGTATAGAAGCGATACAGAATTTAAAAATAGTAATAATAATTACTTTTTTTGTTTCTTTTATCTACATGTTAAAAGCCTCTGTTCACAATAATATCAACTATTCGAGTATCAACAGCATTAGCAATATATTGAAAACATAACGACAAGTGAAGATGACAGTCTATTGAATATGATTACGGACGATAATAGTAATCATCACCGAGAAACTTCAAATTGGCATATTAATGTAAATGAGAATGAACCATTGTTATTCACTGAAGAGTCAAATATTCAAGAAGAAAAGAAACATGATAAACAGTTAGTAACAAAAACACCGACAAATGATATCATAGAATCATTCAGACTTGAAAGAAGTTCTACTCATTGTCATATACCAGATGCAAAATTTGATTATGGTGCAAGAAATAGATTAATTATCGTACTCTTGCTATGTATTGTTTTTATGATAATCGAAATTGTTGGTAATTATAACATAATTGTTTGAAACAGTCCGATTTATCTAATTCTGGTTGTTGTGTTTAGGTGGTGTACTATCGAATTCAACGGCGGTGATTACAGATGCAGCGCACATGGCAATAGACGTAGCCAGTTTTGTTATATCATTAACAGCCATGTATCTTGGAACGAAAAGACCAACGCCACGATTATCTTTTGGTTATTCAAGAGCAGGTAAAATAATTTTTACTCTAAGAAAGTAAATAAAGTAAAGTTAAGTATTTATTTATTTTTATTATTTTTAGAAGTACTTGGTGCATTAATGAGTGTACTCACAATATGGTTGGCCACTGGTGTGCTTGTTTATATGGCAATACAACGTTGTATAAATCAAAATTTTACTGTTAATTCGTTGGAAATGATAATCACTGCTTCTTGTGGTGTCTTATTCAATATAGTGTAGGTAGGGTGTTACGACGTTTTACGGAAAAATCACTTTCATCTTTTTCTCTTCGTCTCCTTTTTCAGTATGTTTTTTGTGTTACACGCCAATGATTGTAACAGTATTCCTCACCATGGACACAGCCACGGTACTATGGAACACGGTCATAGTCATTCACATCAAAATCATAAACAAATTAATGAAGATACTTCACCGGCGATCGCAACAGATATCATGGTTGATGTTGAACCTTCAAGTATCATGCAGAAACCGGAGAAAAAACGTCTACGTCGTCCTACTCATGATATTAATGTGAGAGCTGCTATCATTCATGTTATTGGCGATTTTGCACAAAGTGTTGGGGTGTTAGTAGCAGCCATTGTTATTAAATTTAAAGTAAGAGGATTTTTATATCGAAGTTAGTTCAGTTTTTTTCCTTGAATTAAAAGAAAAAAAAATCAAATAAACTAACTAGCCATATATTTGGAGTGTGTGAAAAGATTCCTTTGTTTACCGGAAATTACAATACGAAAAAATCAATAACTTTGTCTCTTTCTCTGTGTATGATGTATGATAACTCTTTATCGATGTAACGACCAATGTGGAATGATGATTTAAAGAGATCAAAACTTAAACATGATGATACTCGAATTAGTCTTCAAAGTTCTCTGACCACAAAAAGTCAGAATCAAAAAATCAAATTCTCATTAATTCTCCGAGAATTTCAATAAAGTCACTCTGTCATACAACCATATTATACACGAGACGATAAAACATAGTTGAGAACATCAGATGATGTTTTCTTATGCAGATAATTAATGCTACTCCAAAATAATTTGAATTTGTTGAAAAGTGTGTCAGAAAATCGATCAGTTTGTAGCCTTTCTTCTGTATTTTTTATGCAACTTTTTACTTATACATCTTGTAATTAAATATTTCTCACGTTGTTTCGAGAAGATGTATTTTTTAAAAAATATACGCGAAAGTCTAAGTGATTGATTTTATCTGCATTCTGCATTTCTGTTTTAGCCTACTTATAAACTTGCCGATCCAATATGTACATTTCTCTTTTCCGTACTTGTGTTAATAACCACAATCACTATCATGAGAGATATTGTCTTAGTACTCATGGAAGGCAAGTCGTTGAAAGAGCATATCTAGTTTTATGAAGTAATATATATATTTTTATTTACATTTGTTAGCTGTGCCCCATCATATCGATTATTTAGATGTTATTGAAGATTTATTGCGAATTCCAGGCGTTCGAAATGCTCATAGTCTACATATTTGGTCATTATCAATGAAAAAAGCGGCTCTATCTGTTCATATTGTTGTTGGTATGTAGAAAATATACTCAAACATCGAGTACTTAGACATATTGGGTCGTTTTCAAGAGGCTTCTTGTTCATTATCATCCAACGATTACACTAGAACGAACACCACAGATTTTCATTTCCGAAAAATATTGAATAGTATCATCATATTACTAAGCCGTTTTGAACTAAAAGGCTATTTAGTATGAACTAAAATAAAAAACGTTAAAGCTAGGCTAGACAATACAGTGTAGTTCAGATATTTTCCTACAAAACTTGATCTTTGAATGGTGACTACACTTTATCGTTCGACTTTACCAATAAACAATAAATTTCCTTTTAATTGTGGAGATACAGTTAGGGATGTTTTCTTGTGAGTTTTATTGAATTACTATCCATTTCAAAATAGAATGCAGTCCATTGTTGTTTGAATGAATTTCGATAGAAAAGAGATAGAAAGCTGCAATCTTCACTTTTGAAGAGAGAAATGTTGGGACTATGATACTACAGAAAGAGAACAACAAAATTCCCATCTGCAGGTGTTAGACCTGACTAAGACATTTTGGAGAAGGTTTCTCTCCACTAAAAGAGTGTCGGATTTTGAATGCCGATAGGTAGATTCGAGTCACCAAACATTACTCTACAAAACTACTTCGGAGAGTCCTGGATTCGGTGATCTCTAGGTTTGGAAACCTCAAAATGAATGGAAACATAGGTTATCGACTACGCTGAGAACATACAGAAACATACTGTACAGTCGTACAACACAAAATGTCCCAAAACGGCTATGTACAGTGGGAACGAAAATATTGATAACTCGATGAAAATACATCAAAACCTAAAGATCATTGAAAACCTGCTTTATTGTTTTCTTAAAAGATGCGCCGTGAGATTCTCTACAAAAAATATACTAAAGATTTTTTATACACCGTAAAGATAAAAGAATATAGAAGAAATACTGCAAAACTTCAATTGCGGTTACTGTGTAACCCAAAAACCAATTTTTTTTATTTAACACTCTTCATAATTATAATCAGTTGTGGGGACTTATTTTTCTTTTATCAATTTTCCCTGAAATCAACATTTTGAGGTCGGGTTTGCTTTATCTTAAAGTAAAATAATTCTCCTGTTACATCCGTACAAAGAAAATCCAATATTTTTTCTTTTCCTGTGTCACAGCGAAAAAGATGACATTCCCTTTTTTTGTTAAATTTTAGTAGAATCGTCTTTTGTGCCAGAAAAACGCGTTTAAACTGAACTTATGATAGACGATACTTCGAAACACTAGAATGTACATTCTGATTCCTCTTTAACGCATGTCACATGTTCAAAATAAATTTGTTTTTCTAATCTTTTGGGTTGCAAAGTAATCGAAATTGATCCTTCGCAGTATTTCTTCTATATTCTTTTATCTTTACGATATATAAAAAAATGTTTACTATATTTTTTGTAAAGAATTTCACGATGCATCTTTTTGAGAAAAAATAAAACTCGGGCGATAAAATCTAACTGAGATATTACAGAAAATTTGGGTAAAACAAACAAGGCAGCAGCAATTCATCAACAAAATTTTGTCTAGAGAATGATCGTTATAGTCTAATTACTTTTCAGATCATACAGATATGGTTTATTGTGAAGTTTTTATTTGTTGTTTAGATTCGGATCATAATCATTTAGCTCTTTTACATCAAGCACAAGATATATTACGCCGTGAACATTCCATTGATCGCACTACAATACAAATTGAAGAATACGATGATATTATGGCATTCTGTGAAAATTGTAAAAGACCGGGAGTATAAAGTGATTATGCTTGTTCTATTCACAGTGGTTTTCTTTTAGTCATTTTGTATCTCTTTGTATAATCATGTATAATTTATTTTTATGCTTTTTTGAAAAACCATGTGATATTTATCAAAGTTAAGTTTAGTAATCAAAGTTAGTTAAAAAAAAGATGAACAAAAATATCATTTTAGTGCGTGCAATATGTTATTAATTATGCTCTTTTTCAGTAAAAATATATGAATTTAATTTTTATCCGTTTTTCTCTTTATATATGTTATGGTAATATTTTTGTATTTTTATGATAGTTCAACAGAAAAAAAAGAAATGAAAGCAAATTGTCCAAGTAAAGGATTTTGCATTGTTTCCTGCAAAGTTATTTTTAATCTATTTATCTTGTGTTAACTACTAGTTTAGTATGTGCTAGTTTTAATATGATTCAAATATTTACATCTTTTTTTTCCAGTTTTTTTGATATATTTTTGAACATTTTATATAAAGTTATATGGGCTTGCTCTTTCGAACGATTTGTACATTTGAAGTCATCCATCGTAAATAATTAGAGCCGTATCAAATAAGGAATATCTCTATCTTTTCACATCTTGGCAAATGTTAGCACATGTCTCCAGATGTGCTAACACTTGCCAAGATTGAGTAAGACTTGAGATTGAGAAGTCGTTTAGAAAAAATCGTGAAAGTGTGAATGGTGCATGCGAAGAAGAAGTCACAAACTCAAATGGCTTGCTGCAGAGTATACCCTAGTTACATCCGCGCTTTATTCTTGCCGCGAATTTTGCGCGTTCCGCGAAAAATTGGCGATCGCGCCGCGAAAATTTTTGCGCGCCACGTTCGCGGTCAAGATCACATCGCGTTCGCGATTCAAGTCAGATTGTATCGCGTTCGCGTTCGGGGACGCTACACATTCG